CCAATGGGTGTCACTCCTTTGTCATGGGAGTCATTCATCTGTCACCAATGGGTGTCACTCCTTTGTCATGGGAGTCATTCATCTGTCACCAATGGGTGTCACTCCTTTGTCATGGGGAGTCATTCATCTGTCACCAATGGGTGTCACTCCTTTGTCATGGGAGTCATTCATCTGTCACCAATGGGTGTCACTCCTTTGTCATGGGAGTCATTCATCTGTCACCAATGGGTATCACTCCTTTGTCATGGGAGTCACTCATCTGTCACCAATGGTGTTACTCTTTTGTCATGGGAGTCACTCACCTGGCACCAATGGGTGTCTCTCTTTTGTCATGGGAGTCATTCATCTGTCACCACTGGGTGTCACTCCTTTGTCATGGGAGTCACTCGTCTGTCACCAATGGGTGTCACTCTTTTTTCATGGGAGTAACTCATCTATCATGGATGGATATCACTTACTTATCTGTCACCAGTGGATATGGATAATTTATCAGTGACAGGTGTCACTCATCTATCACTTAAAATGTGACTTTTCTGTCACTGAGAATGTCACTGATGGATGTCACTCATTTGTCATCGATGGGTGCCACTCATCTGTCACCGATGGATCTATCATTGATTGGTGTCACTCATCCGTCACAGATGGGTGCCACTCTTCCGTCTCGTATGGGGTGCCACTCTTCCGTCTCGTATGGGTGCCACTCTTCTGTCTCGGATGGGTGCCACTCTTCTGTCATTGATGGTTGTCACTCATCTGTCATCGATGGTTGTCACTCTTCCATCTCAGATGGGGTGTCACTCATCTGTCACGGATGGGTGTCAGTAGTTTGCTCTGAGATGAACATTTCTCTGATGGCGGGTGTGTGTACAGGAGGCTCTGCACTCCACGAATGTCATCAATGATCTGACATCATTGATTGGTGTCGCTCTCCCATCTACAATGGGTGTCACTCATCCGTCATGTATGGGTGTCAGTAGTTTACATTTCTCTGATGGCGGTGTGTGTACAGGAGGCTCCGCACTCCACGAATGTCATCAATGATCTGCCATCATTGATTGGTGTCGCTCTCCCATCTACAATGGGTGTCACTCATCCGTCATGGATGGGTGTCAGTAGTTTGCTCTGAGATGAACACTTCTCTGATGGCGGTGTGTGTGTACAGGAGGCTCCGCACTCCATGAATGTCATCAATGATCTGCCATCATTGATTGGTGTCGCTCTCCCATCTACAATGGGTGTCACTGATCCGTCATGTATGGGTGTCAGTAGTTTGCTCTGAGATGAACATTTCTCTGATGGCGGTGTGTGTACAGGAGGCTCCGCACTCCATGAATGTTATCAATGATCTGCCATCATTGATTGGTGTCGCTCTCCCATCTACAATGGGTGTCACTCATCCGTCATGGATGGGTGTCAGTAGTTTGCTCTGAGATGAACACTTCTCTGATGGCGGTGTGTGTACAGGAGGCTCCGCACTCCATGAATGTCATCAATGATCCGCTTCATCCATCATCACTCCATTATATAACTGGTTGGGGGTTTTATATGTTTTGTAGATTCTTCTTTCACTGTAAAGTATTTTTGTAATTGCTAATACTGGAATGTGACAATTATTTGCACTGTGTATACAGCAACCCTTGGCGATAATCATGGAGTCACAGAGATCCTCTGCGGAGCTCCTCCAGATTATTATCTCTACAATTATAATAAGGAACGTCACTGAGTGCAGAGAAAACTAGGAACAAACAAAATATAAAAGGCCCAACAATACAAATAAAATGTATAATGTGAAGAGAGAATAACAGCAAATGTCGGCATGTTAGTGGAGGCAATAAAAAACGTGACACTTCAGCGCTCAGAAATCAGCGGCGGCACCCATCGCATGAACCGCATGTCACATGGTCTTCACCCAACCAGGGACTGGAAAGTAGTGGTGGTGCAGCCCTCCTCTGATGGGGGAAATCCTGCACAGAACATAAAAACCACAGAGGGCACAACAACCTGGAGGATTGTATTAGACAATATAATAACCAATAAATATCTCACAAGTCTAGTGATCTGTAGGCATGGAGATGTATAAAGCACACAATGTAAGAGACCGCTCTGCACCTCCACCTGAAACAGGATGACAAAAAGCAGCTGACGCGTTTCAGGGGCCCAATCCCCTTCCTCAGAGCTATGGCTAATGTCTGCCAACCCTCCACCTCCTTAGATAGCATCAATTATTTGGATAGCCCACCTACCATCGGTGGGGGGGGACAAAGGAAGGGAGGGAGTTTCTTCAAGGAGACAAAGCCTGCTGACTACAGCCTGTACATACATACATACATACTGAATATACATAGAGTACATGTATGTACATAGTAGATAGGCTGTGTCTCCTTTAAAAAACTCTCCCTCATTTTGTTTTTTTCTCCGCCCCCCGATGGTAGGTGGGCAATCCAAATAATTGATGCTATCTAAGGAGGTGGAGGGTTGGAAGACATTAGCCATAGCTCTGAGGAAGGGGATTGGGTCCCTGAAATGCGACAGTAGGTGGGCTATCCAAATAATTTATGCGAAGGTAAATCGTCCCTAACAATCCACATATTAAATGCAGCTTGAGGAGCAGACAACGCTGACCTATGGAAGCAGCCCGCAACCCCCCCGCAGCCCGCAGCCCGCAACCCCAACACTGCCTCTCCGGTTTGGCAAAATCAATGAAATGATGAGGTTGAAGGATCCAATAGTTTGACGTTATAATAAGGAGAAGCTTAGACAGATCCGGTTTCCATGGCTAGACTCGACTATTCCTCTGCATATAAGAACATGTTGGCCACCACCAATCCTGTGGACTATGGGCCATAAAAGTCTTTCACACACAAACTGACTATAACTATTCTCTTCATGCCTGTGGAACCCGTTCTTTCTTTTGAATCCTGACATTTCTTCACAAGGTTTACCTCAAGTCCCCTTCCCATAAAAGTGGTGTCAACCTGAACCAGGAACATCGTTTCATACTTTCTAGAACTACCCCTCTGTCTTCCCGTTCTGAAGGGAAGTCCAACAACTAGTTCTTCAGCTAACTTTAGTCAGCCTGAGGCAGAATCTTACTAGCCATCTACTCAACATTAATGTGATCTCAGTGAAATGCTACAAACTGTCCCTGACATTCCACTTATTAAATGCAGCTTGAGCATTGTAATGGAACCGACCCCAGACTGCACTTGGTATTTCCGTTAGACTACCGCTTCCCCGTCCGAACACCGACCACAGACACCACAGCCGACCATACAAGACTAGATGACACCGGTCTTGAAGTAATCCAGAAAGTAGACTAGTTTATTTTAACACAGATACAAGATATATACACTCAAGGGAACGACCCCCCCTCCCTGCATAATGACACAGGGCGGGGCAATCTACATTTAGTAACAAGAGACACACCAACAGACAGTCCCATCAGGAGGGAGGGCCGCTGGAGACACCCCATCACCAAGCCAATACACATAAACACATACATCCCATAATAATTTGCTCCCAAGCAAGACACACAATAGAACAATGGGATGCAACCACATGGCATTAAACAATCCACAAACCCCACCCCACCTATCTCCTAGACATGTCTACACAATATCAGGACAGATCACCCTGTACCCCTAACAGGCACAGGGTGACTTACACATAAGAGGGATATGGGGAGCTGAGACAGGGGTCTCCCCACCTCTCCAAAGTGAGCTGGGTTCCATGGGCCCCCCCCCACTGGGTTCCAGAGTGACTCCCGTCACAAGCATACAACACTGTCCTGTGGAAAGCAGCCCTCAACCCCAACCCTGCCTCTCTGGTTTGGCAAAATCAATACAATTCTGAGGTTGAAGGATCAAATAGTTTCACTTTATCATGAGGAATAGTTTAGGCAACCCGGTTTCCATGGCTTGACATCTACTCTGCATATGAGAACCTGTTGATCATCACTTTCTGAATCCTGTGGACCATGGGCCATAAATGTCTCTCAAACACACACAGACTATAGCTATTCTCCTCATGCCTGGGGACCCCACTGACCCACTCTGCCTTTTGTGACCCACCTCCCTGGGCCGTTACATTGTTGAAAATAGATCAACCCTCAATGCACCCTTCATCTCCCAATCTTCACCCCACCTCCAACAGGATGCTCCCCCTTTATTTCCCCTCCTCATCTCCCTTTTCCTCTTCATTTCCCTCATTATTGCCCTCATACCCCTTCTCACCTCCCCACCTCCTGGATATATTACTCCTTTCTATAGCCAACGGCTCGAGCAATTCCTCCCTACATGTACAACAGAACAAGGACACAGAACCGGTACAGACGTGCCGTACGTGCAAATTGTGTTTAAATATGTGAGATGGCGTCACTTCCTAGTTAGCTTTTATTGCACAATGTTTTCTCTGAACCGGAGATGTATCCAAATGTCTGCAATTTATTGACTGAATTGTGTCCTAAATAAAGAAATGTAAATTAAATGCAGAATATGATTGTAAAGTAAATGTGTTCCTATGTCATCGCATCTCTTTGAAGCCGTCTTCCTCTTTGCCCTCTATTGTTTTTCTGACAAATATTTTGCTATTTTACATTTTTTTATCCATTATTATTTACATTTTTCTTTGTTCTCATTCTTTTTGTTCATTCATTTTTTTATATTCCCCATTGATTAAAAAAAAAAGTCTTTATTTGGCTTGTAAAGAACGTTGCAATGCTTTGTAGTGGAATCCAGAGTCTGAGAGCGGAATAGGGCAGGATGGGAGTTCTGGGTAAATATTAAAAGCTTAATTTCTGTGAAAGCCGATTCTCTTCTGATAAGCGTTCTGTACATCCTGTGTACACAGATACCGATCGAGCTAAATACAGAGAATTGCCTGAGGCTTGTGACAGTTACAAAACATTGAAGTTTTTTTGTAAAATATATATATACACACACTATATTGCCAAAAGTATTGGCCCTGCCCTCCCAATCATGTGATTTAGGTGTTCCAATCCCCTCCATATCATGTGATTCCAATGTTCCAATCCCCTCCATATCATGTGATTCAGGTGTTCCAATCCCCTCCATATCATGTGATTCAGGTGTTCCAATCCCCTCCATATCATGTGATTCAGGTGTTCCAATCCCCTCCATATCATGTGATTCAGGTGTTCCAATCCCCTCCATATTATGTGATTCAGGTGTTCCAATCCCCTCCATATCATGTGATTCAGGTGTTCCAATCGCCCTCCATATCATGTGATTTAGGTGTTCCCCTCCCATATCATGTGATTCCGGTGTTCCAATCCCCTCCATGGACAGGACACAGGTGTATACAATCAAGCCCCTAGGCATGCAGACGGCTTCTACAAACATTGGTGAAAGAATGGGTTAGCTCTCAGGAGCTCAGTGACCCCAAGCGTGGTCCCGTGATAGGTGGCCACCTGGGCAATAAGTCCATCCGTCCCATTTCCTGGCTACTAAATATTCCACGCTCAACTGTTAGTGGGATTATAACAAAGTGGAAGCAACTGGGAACAACAGCCACTCAGCCACCAAGTGGTAGGCCACGTCACATGACAGGGTTCCGGGGTCAGCGCATGCTGAAGCGCACAGTGCGCAGAAGTCGCAAACTGTCTGCAGAGTCAATAGCTAAAGACCTCCAAACTTGGTGTGGACCTTCAGATGAGTCCCAACAACAGTGCGTAGAGAGCTTCATGGAATGGAATACACCCCGTGAATTGTATACAGTCCGGGGGAGGAGGGGTACTCACTTTAGACACAGGAGTGCACAGAGGTCACTCGAGACACAGGAGCACACAGGGGTCACTGGAGACACAGAAGTACACAGAGGTCACTGGGAGACACAGGAGCACACAGGGGTCACTGGAGACACAGGAGCACACAGGGGTCACTGGAGACACAGGAGCACAAACAGGGGTCACTGGATACACAGGAGTACACAGGGGTCACTGGAGACACAGAAGTACACAGAGATCAATGGAGACACAGGAGCATACAGAGGTCACTGGATACACAGGAGCACACAGGGGTCACTGGAGACACAGGAACACACAGGGGTCACTGGAGACACAGAAGTACACAGAGATCAATGGAGACATAGGAGCATACAGAGGTCACTGGATACACAGGAGCACACAGGGGTCACTGGAGACACAGGAGCACACTGGGGTCACTGGAGACACAGGAACACACAGGGGTCACTGGAGACACAGGAGCACACTGGGGTCACTGGAGACACAGAAGTACACAGAGATCAATGGAGACACAGGAGAACACAGAGGTCACTGGATACACATGAGCACACAGGGATCACTGGAGACACAGGAACACACAGAGGTCACTGGAGACACAGGAGCACACAGGGGTCACTGGAGACACAGGAGCACACAGAGGTCACTGGATACACAGGAGCACACAGGGGTCACTGGAGACACAGGAGCACACAGACGTCACTGGATACACAGGAGCACACAGGGTCACTGGAGACACAGGAGCACACAGGGGTCACTGGAGACACAGGAGCACACAGACGTCACTGGAGACACAGGAGCACACAGGGATCACTGGCGACACAGGAACACACAGAGGTCACTGGAGACACAGGAGCACACAGGGGTCACTGGATACACAGGAGCACACAGGGGTCACTGGATACACAGGAGCACACAGGGGTCACTGGATACACAGGAGCACACAGGGGTCACTGGAGACACAGGAGCATACAGGGGTCACTGGAGACACAGGAGCACACAGGGATCACTGGAGACACAGGAGCACACAGCGGTCACTGGATACACAGGAGCACACAGGGGTCACTGGAGACACAGGAGCACACAGCGGTCACTGGATACACAGGAGCACACAGGGGTCACTGGAGACACAGGAGCACACAGGGGTCACTGGAGACACAGGAGCACACGGGGGTCACTGGAGACACAGGAGCACACGGGGGTCACTGGAGACACAGGAGCACACAGGGGTCACTGGAGACACAGGAGTACACAGGGATCACTGGAGACACAGGAGCACACAGCGGTCACTGGATACACAGGAGCACACAGGGGTCACTGGAGACACAGGAGCACACAGGGGTCACTGGAGACACAGAAGCACACAGGGGTCACTGGAGACACAGGAGCACACAGGGGTCACTGGATACACAGGAGCACACAGGGGTCACTGGAGACACAGGAGCACACGGGGGTCACTGGAGACACAGGAGCACACGGGGGTCACTGGAGACACAGGAGCACACGGGGGTCACTGGAGACACAGGAGCACACAGGGGTCACTGGAGACACAGGAGCATACTGAAGTCACAGGTAGTTATGGGTCAAAAACCCCCACGTTCATTTCACTGTCGAACATTCAAACCTTATGAAAGTTCGACTGCAAACTTCAAACCCAGGGGACAAATCACTTCTTCCGAGTATGTGGTAAGATACCGCACAGCATTTTTCCAAAAAAAGTTGGCATTCACTAAAAAAAAAGCTTTCAAAATACTGCATGAGTCATATTATTAAGTCATGCAGTATTTTAGTAGTGAAAACTCGTGTAAAGAGGGGTTCCCCACCGACAGCTGAATGTAAAAAGAATTGCTGACAAAAAAGAAATGAGTGAGGTCCCCCCATCCATACCAAGCCCTTCGTGTCTGGTATGGATTTTGAGGGGAACCCTCACACCAAATTTTTTTGTACATGGCGTGGGTTCCCCCAAAATCTATACCAGACCCTTATCGGAGCACGCAGCCCAGCAGGTCAGGAAAGGGGTGGGACAAGCAAGTGCCCCCCTGCAAACCATACCAGGCCACAAGCCCTCAACATGGTGGGCAGGGGAGGACTGACAACTCATGGGGCCCTGAGCAATAGGGGATCGTTGGGCCCCGTGTCTTTGCCCACACTCAAACCACACCCAAAAAGAATATCAAAGGTACTAGGGGCATCTCATGGGGCCCCCTACTAACCCTGGGCCCTCGGGCAGCGCCCGAGTGCCCAAATGGTCAATTCGCCCCTGGTCCAAAGTCAAGGTAAGGGTCCAAAGTCAAGGTAAGGGTCAAAAGCAGGGGCAAACTGACAACTCATGGGGCCCCTTGGCATTAGGGAATCATGGGGCCCCTATGTCCTCAACCACACTCAAACCACACCCAACAAAGCCTATGAGAGGTACTAGGGGCATCTCATGGGGCCCCCTACTGACCCTGGGCCCTCGGGCAGTGCCCGAGAGCCCAAATGGTTAGTCCGCCCCTGATGGTGGGGTGCTTTGGGGTTGGGGGCTACCCCCCAAAGCACCTTGTCCCCATGTTGATGGGGACAAGGGCCTCTTCCCCACAATCCTGGCCTGTGGTTGTGGGGGTCTGTGGGCGGGAGGCTTATTGGAATCTGGGGGTCCCGAGATCCCGCCCTCCCGTGTGAATGAGTATGGAGTTCATGGTATCGCTACCCATTCATTAAAAAAAGAAGTGTAGTGTAAGAAATGACAGAAGACAGTCCCTGACAAGTCCTTTATTAAAACAACAAAAATAAAAAAAAGTTCCCTCGAAAAAAAAAAACTCTTCTCCAGATGCTGACTCCCGTCATCTGAATGCTCCGCCTTCCTGACAGTTCTTAAATATCTAAAGGGGAGGGACCACCCGGTGATGTCAACTGGGTGACCTTGCCCCCTTGTGACATCATCGACCACGGCATGCTGGGCCAATGATGTCAGAATGAAGAGGCTGGGAATTGTCATTTACCAGAAATGTACACACTTTTTTCTAGGTAAATGTCAGTTGTACATTTTTTTTCTTTTCGGTCCCATCCCCCACCACAATTCTGGCCTAGATCTACACATTCCTGTTCAAGTGAAATCTTAGAGTGTCAGTTCTTTGGGCTCACAGATGACATTTTGGGTGAAAGCCATCCTATCCACTTCCACACAGAGAGGTGGCTGGACTCCAGCAGGGGAAGGATTGACTGAGGAGGCAACGCCTCTTCCCAATAACAAGCTGTGATTGGTGGAAGGTCAGTTCCCATCAAGTATATAAACGTCCTCTTACCTTCAGGAGATGTAGAACTTCTCTCATATCCATCAGGTAAGTGTTGTGGGAAGGGGGCTCAGTCCTGTACGGGGGTCCTGAATCTTTATATCACTGAGATAATGATGAGTTCCTGGGTTACTGTACCATATATAGAGCTCAGGGGGGGTTTTACTAAAGGAGTGGAGCATGTTGGCTCTTCCAATAACCCCCATTACCAGGGGTGGACTGACCATTTGGAAACTCGGGCACTGCCCAAGGGCCCGGGGTCAGTAGGGGGCCCCATGAGATGCCCCTGGTAGTACCTATTTCATAGGCTTTTTTGAGTTTGGGCAAGGACACAGGGGCCCCATGATCCCCTATTGCCCGGGGGCCCCATGAGTTGTCAGTCCGCCCCTGCCCATTACTATCTATACACGGAGAGTCTATGGGACTTCATACTACAAGTAAATGTAGGGACTTCCACAGGACACATTCCTCTTCTGTAATCTTGTTTAGATACATTGTGACGGTGCGATCCGAAGACAAACCAACGTAACCAGACCTCAGATCTTCCTGGAGAGACAAACGTAACCAGACCTCAAATCTTCATGGAGAGACAAACGTAACCAGACCTCAAATCTTCATGGAGAGACAAACGTAACCAGACCTCAGATCTTCATGGAGAGACAAACGTAACCAGACCTCAAATCTTCATGGAGAGACAAACGTAACCAGACCTCAAATCTTCATGGAGAGACAAACGTAACCAGACCTCAAATCTTCATGGAGAGACAAACGTAACCAGACCTCAAATCTTCATGGAGAGACAAACGTAACCAGACCTCAAATCTTCATGGAGAGACAAACGTAACCAGACCTCAGATCTTCATGGAGAGACAAACGTAACCAGACCTCAAATCTTCATGGAGAGACAAACGTAACCAGACCTCAGATCTTCATGGAGAGACAAACGTAACCAGACCTCAAATCTTCATGGAGAGACAAACGTAACCAGACCTCAAATCTTCATGGAGAGACAAACGTAACCAGACCTCAAATCTTCCTGAGGAATTCAGAATGCCAAACGAGGAGGTGCAGCCCTTCAAAGATCGGGAAATCTGGACACTGATAGACAAGAGCAGACAAGGGCGCTCTCCTCGTGTATCACCGCGTACACCACAGATTTATTGTGTAGACACAGAGATGTATACAAACCAAAGGAACATACCAGCAGAATGTGGGGTCCGCAATGGCAGTCAATGCAATGCTGTGCATTTAATAGGGATTGCTGACGCGTTTCGGGGGATGAACCCCCTTCACTTGTACCCTCCAGATGGCTTTGCATGGCTCTTAATGGACAGTCCCTATCCTAGGTGTATCTGTCCCATATACACAATATATACTTCATTTACAGATACACCTG